CAGGAGAGCTCAGGGGAAAGTGCTTCCTTGCCTACTACCTGGGAAACAGATGGCTGCCTGCCTGGGGGGGCCCAAAGGTGGCCTGCCGACGGGCTCTTGGGCCCCTGTAAAACGAGGCAAACAATGCATTAGCCTGGGCATTTGGGGGCGGCATTTTTTGCCGCCACGGAAAGAACGCCCAAGGCAAATGCCTTGTTTGGCTCGTGGTAGATACAGCCCTGTGTCCACCCACATTCTCTGTTGATTCACCTCCCAATCCCCAATTCTCTCTCCACCCCTCATTCTTTGTCTGTTCACCACCATATTTTAAGTTTGTTTACAATGCATTCTATCTCTGTCCATCCCAGAGATGGGGGGATATGACTTTAAGTTCCCGACCTCTCTACTCACTGTTGGCTGAGCTCTCCGAACAGCTCTGACAGACCAGACAAAAGAGCGTGAATAGCCTCTGCCGTGGTCCTACACAGCTTTAATTAGAAAGTGGAATATATTACGAATGGAATATAAATTCAAAGTGAATTTCAATCTATAGGCCAGTATAACTGAACTGAAAGCATAGCTGTTTTAGAGAATTTCTTCAGTTTGGCTATTTTACTTTAAAATGTTTAATTTGATTTGAACTTTTTACAATTTATATGGTAGTGAATTATTCTGACATTGTTTTGCAGTTTGTGCGTTACAGATACAAAAAAACATCAGAATTTCAGAATTAGATGACTTATCCAACTGTTATGTTTTGACTTGGGTGGTTTGCTATAAAATTTGTAATTTCCTGGATAATTCTCCACAATAGCCTAGTGAATAGGTCCAAATGTGTTAGGTAAAAAAATAACAGGTCTGCTTTAAAGCGGTCTTTAAATTATAATCTTTAAAATAAGTTTTATTCTATTTATATTTAGCTAAGTATTGAAAAAATGTAGTACCTATTAACTGTAATGGAAACCTCCATTATGCTGGGACATGGAGTGGACTATGGGCCAGCCTACTCTCCACCAACTGTGGGCCTTGGCATAGAGAGGGGTTCTGTTTTTGTTGAAGTGGGAATGGGGGGGCAATTTTATGACTATTTACTTCTCCCCCGGTATGCATTTGCCACTTTTCCCCACTTACTAGTGTAATGTTTAAATCTCCCATGTGTTCCCCAGCCTTTCTTATTGTCTGCCCCCACTCTTCCACGTAGCCACAGTGCTCCATTCACATTAGTTGCAATGTAATTAATCTTTGTAGTGTAATTGGTTGCTATCCTAAATCCATACTGCTATTGGTTGACTTGGGCTCGCTATGCTGTTTGTGATGGAGTTACGGTGGAGGTCCTGGAGTGGAACTTTGTGTACCACTGTAACCCTTCTGTATGTAAATGAGGCTGTTAGGGGTATAAATAGATGTGCTGTTTTCCATCAAGGTCAGTTGTGTTTCACCCTATGCTATGTCTCAATTAGTATTTGGGTGGAAGGGGCAATATGGCTATAATCACTGAATTACTATAATCACTGCTCTATAGGAGAGAAAGTTGCTCGAGCTATAATCACTGCAACTCGGTCTGGGTAAGATGTCTCAGAGATCACAATCAAGCTTTGACGACTGGGTCTGAAGCACTCCAGAGCTCCTGGTGGCAGAGAAGAAGCTGACCTGATGGAGGTACACAGTTGGAGTACAGCAGCTCCGTCACATTAGCAAATGAAGAAATGAATACATTTGCTAGTGAAGTTGTGGACATCTTGAAACTGTGTGAGACTTTAAACATTTTTCCCAAGTATGTGAGTTGTTCAGGTGAGTGGGAAATTACCTGGAAAATAAGGCCTACATTGCTAATCAATCAATTGCCTCTGACAGGAACAGTATGTTTGTTGAAGTGCTTTAGGGGTTAACAGAGAGTCACCTTTGTCACACTTTTAAAATTGCTGATTTCAAGAAAAATTAATCAAGGTGTCAAGTTGTGTCCCTCAAACTGGCAATCATACAGCAACTTTGTTACCCAGCACAAATCAGAAAGCAGTGCTTCTCTTTGAGAAACATTGGATTAAATGCTTCTCTGTGAAAGGCATTGCATTCACAGTGTGGTTATTGCCGCCCATAGGCCTTGTCATCCAATGCTTCATTATGAGAAGCATTGGATTGGCTAGGAGATCATGCTACTGAAGATCTCCTGGTGGGCAGTGAGCAATTGGGTGGGGAGACCCTCATTACTGAATTACAGGAAAGTTGTGATTGTCACTATGATCACCAGCACCACGGCCGCTTAATGTACTGGTCCTGGTGCTATAGCCTTTTCCTGCAGGCTTTTCAATGTAAAAACTGCCTTTTGGAGTTGAAAGTTATGTTTGTTGGGTGTTCTGGAGTGGTCCTGTTGTATGTTTCTGATTTTCCACACAGTTATCAAAGCAATAACAATCTAAATTACAGCTTTTTCTTCCACTGGCAATGCCATCAATGTCAGAAAACTATAATTTTAAAACCTGGCTTAAATTGTGATGTCATTGTTAGTCTAGCAATGTCAACA